GCATACATGTCCGTGCACTATGTGCCTGGGGCTCATGGAGGCCAGGAGAGGGGGTCCGATCCCCTGGAATTGGAGTTTTGGGCTCATAACCACTGAGCCATCTCAGTCTAACCTTGGATTTTTTTATTTGAAAAAGAAAAACAAAACATTTTACATCTGTGTGTGTGCTTGCGTGTGCATGTGTGTGTGTGCGCGCGCAACCCTATGTATCTGTGTCCATTTGTGCTTTTGGAAGTAAGTTTTCTCCTTCAGTTATGTGGGCCAACTGAACTCAGGCTTGGCAGGAATCAGCTTTATCTCCTGAGCCATCTTAAGTCTTGGACTTTGAACTGCCCATCCCTATCCCCTTGCCTCCACTTTCTCCCAGATGCTGCGATCACAGGTGTGTGCCACTGAACTCAGTGCTGAGGATCCGAATGTGACAGTGACATCCTGCATTCCAGGCATTTCCGGCAACTGCCATAGCTACTGAGCCTCAGCTCCAGCCCTTTGTTCTGAGACGGGGTCTTCCTTGGCTGGCCTCAGGTCTATGGTGATGCCCTTCCTCCAGCTCCTGAGTGCTGGGAATACAGGGCTAAGTCTCCACGTCTGGCTTTGTTGATGTTGATTTTGTTGTTGACTTTTAGTGTCGATTTAGTTTTGTTCTTTTGCTTGCTGTTTATAGCACAAGCCAGGCTTTGAACTCCTTATGCTGGCTCAGCCTCCTCGGTGCTAGAATTTTAGCTGTGTCACCACACCTGGTTTTCTTGGGGTTCTGGTGCTGTTTTCTTATTATTATTATCATCATCTGTTTGGGTCTTTTTGTGTGTGGGGGGAGTTGTGATTTCTCTTACCTTTGTAAGGAAGGGTCTTGCTTTGTATACCAGGCTAGCCTTGAACTCTTGGTCCTCTTGCTTAGCCTCTCAAGTGCTAGGCTCCTAAGTCATGCCTGGGTATACTAGGGGTTCTGTGGGTAGACGTAACATAACCTTATGTCCTGGTGTCCTGGTGAGAAGCCCCCAGGAGGAAGTGTCAGACTCAGACTGAGACACACCATTGCTGTGAGTCTTGTGGGGCAGAGTCATGGGCAGATGAAGAACACAGGACCCAGAGAGGACTGTGGGCTGGCTAAAGGGTCTCAAAATTTGAAGACAGCAGATATTAAAAGCTTCATGGAGGGCTGGAAAGATGTTTTTGAGATTAAGAGCACTGACTGGTCTTCCAGAGGATCCTGAGTTCAATTCCCAGCAACCACATAGTGATTCATAACCATCTATGATAGGATCTGGTGCCCTCTTCTGGCATGCAGGTGTACATGCAGACAGAACACTATATACATAATAAATAAATAAAATCTTTAAAAGAATCAGAACTGGCCCGTAAGGAGAGAGTAAGAGGCTTGCCCATGGTCACCTGCTAAACCTTGGCCAGGCCCGGCTCAGGATGCAACCCACCCACTCCCGCCCTGCCTTTCTGTGCCGGCATTATGCACTTCATACGATCACAGCTGACCACCCTCTGCATGATCTTCACCCTTGCCTGAGACTGCATGGCCAATTTCACACCCAGGATGGCTGCTGTTTGGGAAAGATGGGAGCTGTTCCTGGCATGCCTTGTACTCAAGATGCCCTGGCCTGGTGGCACAGGTCAGAAGCTCCCTGCCCTCCTCACCACTCTCCTCTCTCTCTCTCTCTCTGACTTCAGGGTACTTTCTTGAATCCCTCCTCTGAGCTCCCTTCTGGTTCTGAGGAGGGAGGCCTGGACCTTGGGTACCCCTGGTCCTGCAGGGGGAGATGATTGACAGGATCGAGTACAACGTGGAGCACGCTGTGGACTACGTGGAGAGGGCAGTGTCTGACACCAAGAAAGCCGTCAAGTACCAGAGCAAGGCGCGCAGGGTCAGTGGCCAGCTCTGTCCAAGCCCGTGCCCCGGAGAGCCCCCAGGCTGTGAGACACTCCTCCCCACCTGCCTCTGTCCCGTTTTCAGAAACCCAACCATAGCCTTCACGGCTCCATCAACAGCCCATTCTAGGCCATCCCCTACCCCTTGTCCTGACCCTTCAGATCTCAACCCTCATTTTCCTGATTTTGGGGTGTTTTTGTCCATATAGGGGATGGAACCCAGGATCTAGCACATGCTAGACAAAAGCTCTACTACTGAGATATACCCCCAGCCCCTCACTGGGGGATTCTAGGCTGGCATTCTGTTATTCAGCCCCAGTCTGAGCCCTCATTCTGGCTCTCCCTTTCTGGTACCCCCATGCTCTTCTGAGGCCTGCCTTTGTCTCCCTGCAGAAGAAGATCATGATCATCATTTGCTGTGTGATTCTGGGCATCGTCATCGCCTCTACCATCGGGGGCATCTTTGGATAGACACCAGCTCCACCCACCTCTCCACTCTGGATGGGTCTCCCCGAGGCCTCTGGCTGCTGCGCCTAGCTGGGTTGCCCTCCCCATCCCTGCCTTCTGGCTGGGAACCCTTTTCCTCCCCATCCCATACTGCTCCCTCTCTGCCATGAGGCTCCCGTTCCTACCACCCTGCCCCAAGCCGTGTCGTGTGCATGATCTTGTGACAGTGTGTATCTGTACAGGAGGCAGAGGGGAGCAGGATCGGGAACAGCCAGAGAGGCTGGGGACAGGTCAGTGTGGGCAAGACTCGGGCCCTGACCAGGTCCGTCTTTCTTCAGGCCTGAGGTCCACCCTCCCCTGGGACTCGGGCTCCTTTCTGGACCCCAACCTTGCCCTCCCCTGCCCTGCCCTCTGGCTTCTCCAGCTCTCCCCACCATGCCATGGCACCTGGAGGGTGGGGACCAGCTGGTTACATGGTGCTGCTTTTCAGGTTAGGGGAGAGGTGTCCTAAGGGATAGCCCAACACTGAAGTCTTTGTTAGCTTACCACTGCCAGGAGGCTCAGGGTGTCATGGCTGCCGGTGTGTTAGGAGCACCCAGCATCCCCACTTTGGGCAAAGCTGACAATGTCTCTGGCCTCGGCTGCCCTTACCACAGCCCCGGGAGTCGTGTCCTTGGGCTGGGCCTGAGCCTAGTGAACTTCTGCAAGAAGCGTGGTGGTGTCCTCTCCAGCCTTGCTTGGAGCTGAGAGGTGGAGCAGACCTCAGGCCTCTGCCCACAGTCTCTAACAGGCATGTTGAGTCGCGGCCAGGGTTGCATGTTGGGGACAGTGGTCCCCTGCTCTCTGTATGTTCTGAAAAGCCAGGTGTCTCCCACTGATGTGCCACGTGATGTCAGGTGTACTGGATGCAGTATTCAGCAGCCAGCTGGGGAGGGGGCTCCCCACTCCCCTCCCCTGCTATCTTGGGGCTTCTCAGAGTCAAAAATGTATCCCGTGCCCCAGGAACCTTTTCTTGTCCACAGGCAAGGAGTATGCATGCGAGCGCATGCAGTGGGAGTTGGGGCCGTGTCTGTGTGCCCCCTCCCCTCAGCTTTGCTCCTGCCCAGTGACTGTGACCACTGTCCGTGCTGCCTTCTCTCACGGCCACTCCCTCCACCCCTTCACCAAAGGTCTTGGTACAACCAGCTACCCATTTTGTGAGATTTTTATGTAGAATAAACATTTGTATCTGTAGTGAGCCTCTGCTTGGAACTTTTTTTCCCCATTTGCAGTGTAGTGGGTACGAGATCAACCATGTGGGTATTAAAGGGGAAGGGGCTCAGAGATGGAGGATTCCCAACTTTCCCGCACTACGCAGGCCTTCAGCTGCTTCTGGATGTACAGTGGGGAACATCTGGGCTTTTCTGAGACCACCCCAGAACCCCACCCTTACCTAGGGGAGAGCCACCTTCACCCATCAGAGGTATGAATGTTTTGCCAGCATGTGTGCCTGGAGCCAGAAGAGCTCAGAAGAGTGGGTTGGATCCCTGCAACTGGACGTATGGATGGTTGTTAGCTGCCACATGGGTGCTGAGAACCAATTCCAGTTTCTCTGCCCAGACAACCAATGCTCTTAACTGCCAAGCCATCTCTCCAACTCCCAGATATTTAAATTTTGTTTAAGGCAGGGTCTCACTATGTAGCTCTTACTGTTCTGGAACTTACTAGGTAGATCAGGCTGACTTCAAATTCCGAAGTCAGAAGTCAGCTTGCCGAGTGCTGGGATTGAAAGGGAGCACCACCATGCCTGACTGTTTATGTGTGTCTGTCGTGTGAGTGCAGGTGCCTGTGGAGGCCAGAAGAGGGCGTTGGATCCCCTGGTGCTGGGATTATAGCTGGTTATGTGGGTGGTAGAAACCAAACTCAGGACCTCTGGAAGAGAAGTACATGCTTTTAACCACTGGGCCATTTCTCTAGCCCCTAAAAAGAAAAGTACACATGGTGCCTGAGTGTGCGTGCATGTGTGAGATCAAAGGATAACTTTGGGCTTTGGTCCTCACCTTCTGTCAGTGCAAAGCAGGATCTTTTCTTTACTATGTATAGCTCACCCACGAGTTTCACCGACTTCTGCCTAACTAGCAGCATTACTGCATCCGGCTTTACCTGGGTTCCTGAATCTGAACTCCTCCTTCACATGGCAAGAACTGTACCCACAGGGCCAAAGTCCTGGATCTGGTCCCTAAGAGATGCAACTCTAGGGGTTAAGGCTCTTAGGCCCCTCTCCTTCCCTGTTCAATGCCTTCCTGCTGTGCCATATCTAGGTGTAGTCGCCACCTCCGAGGGAGATACATATGTATCAAATGTCCTTAGCCTGGCGGACACCACACCTAGAGCAGGACCTGTGCTTCTGACCACTTGCGACTGTCCCAACAGCCTGAGGTCACCTCCCATGTGAGACAAGGGACTTGGCAGAGACTTGAGGCAGTGGATACCTCAAGTACCCGAACCCCATTCCCAACCTTGCATGGTATTGACATGAGAAATGAGTCCTGATTCAAGGAACCCATCTGTGCCCCTCCCAAGATGGAAGAAAGCTTCTGTCCATTCCAGGTTTTTAAATCCAGCTCCTGGCTAGGAGCCATGCAGTGGTCCCTAACAGGAACCCGAGACACAGGTTAATATAGAGCCACCAGTTACTTAGAAACTAAATTAATGTATTTAGGACAAAATAAAACATTCTTAGAAAATTTTTTTTCACTTTGTTTTTTTAAAACAGGTTTTTGCTGTGTAGCCCAGACTGGCCTGGAACTTTCCATCTTGATGCCTCAGCCTCCAAGAAGGGTGTTGGAATTACATGATCTGGGCTGCCAAACCCAAATCCCTGGAACACTTTTAGTGAAAAAATATTTTGAGAAATTCGCAACTTTTCTAAAATACTATGTTGCTAGCTGCTGAGGTAAACAGTTCAATCTAGAAAATTCCTCAGAGGCAGGTCCTGGATTGGACAGCTCCCAACCTCTGAGCAGAGTGGGTGGCCTGGGTCACCTGTAGGACTGGATGCAGGTGTGGGTGGCCAGCGCCATCTGCAGGACTGGATGCAGGTGTGGGTGGCCAGCGCCATCTGCAGGACTGGATGCAGGTGTGGGTGGCCAGCGCCATCTGCAGGACTGGATGCAGGTGTGGGTGGCCAGCGCCATCTGCAGGACTGGATGCAGGTGTGGGTGGCCAGCGCCATCTGCAGGACTGGATGCAGGTGTGGGTGGCCAGCGCCATCTGTAGGACTGGATGCAGGTGTGGGTGGCCAGACTCCCCTTGATTAGATTAAGCGCCCTCAGAAACGGGGCTTGCGCTTGCGGCCTGTGTACTGGGTGTCAGGTCTGACCTCCCTGCAGACAGACAGAACAGACTCAGGAGAAGGAAGAGCTCTGTGACCACAAACGCAGGCTATGTTTTGGTGGGCACGGCCTCCCCCTCCCTGCCTGCCGCCCACCCCCAGCTGGTACTCACTTGCCCTGGCGCCTGCGCCGCTCCTTCTTCTCTAGGACCCACTCGCGGCTCTTCTTCACCAGGTCCCGCCGTGCCTTCTTGTGTGGAGCCCTAGGCAGGGACAGAAGTGAGAGGGTGCCTAAGCTGTCACAGGGAGGGGAGTGTTAGCTCTGAAGCCCCCTCTTCCCATCTATCACCTCCACTCTGGACACCGCTGTAACAGGACCAGAACCTCTGGTTTAGCAGAGCTGTGGGGCAAAGTCCTTGTCCCTACAAAGTATCATTAGGCAGATGGCCTTGTGTCTGGAACACACCTTATCTATAAGGTGACTCCAGGAAGGAGGAACTCAAAAAAAAAAAAAAAAAGTAACCTGGTTGTGTCCAAGGAAACCCATGGAACCTGCACAGTCCAATGCTGCCACTTAAGGTCCCTGTCTGGGATGGGGCTCAGTGTGCCTAGCAGAAGCCAGTGTCATTCAACCTCACCCCCCACCCCACCCTAGCTTCTGTCAATGTCTGAGGCCGGAAAACAAGGCTGCCCGCTCATGGCAGTCCAGACAACGAAGCCTCTCACAGATCATCTTGGCCTCCAGCCCTGGCTGAGGAGGAATGTGTTCCCCACAGCCCAATGGACAAAAGGCCCAAGGAAGAAAGGGAGTCTGCGCACCAACCCATAGCCACAATCCCATTGGCTGCCGGGATGAAGTGATTCAGCCTAGCTTGAGGGAGAGCTGCTGGCTGCTTCAGTATGATCTGTGGCCCCTGGGTGCAGACAGGAGCCATGTCAAACCTTCCTCTAGCAGAGGCAGAGCAGAGCTCCAAGAGCTACTCAGCATTTGTAGCAGGGGCTGGGCTATGTGCAGCAACCCATGCCACTAGGAAACGGGCAGGCCACATGAGGCCAAAAGGGAAGGAAAGGAGGAGCATCCATGTTGCTCCTGGAAGTCAGGGGCCAGGTGCAGTCAGAGGTTACTGCAAATGCAGGGGATCCAAAGGTCATACGGAACACACAGAACACTGCGAAGGCAGTGCAAACGGGAACATGCTATGGAATAGAATATTGTTTTCAGTAATGATGTGTTATATTTGTTTGTATTATGTTTGTGTTGCATAATATTTGTTTTACTAAGATGTGTTACATCTGTTCCTGCTGCATTTGTTTAAAGATGTGTTGCTGTTTCACTTTGCCTGCCTAAGGCACCTGATTGGTCTAATAAAAAGCTGACTGGCAAATAGCTAGGCAGAGAAGGGCTAGGCAGGGCTGGCAGGGAGAGAGAAAAGGGGGCCTGGTCAGCCAGGGGTCAGCCAGCCACAGAGGAAGCAGGAAAGCAGGATGGACAGTGTGTGGATGAGGTAAGCAAGCTTCGGGGCAGCACACAGATCAACAGAAATGGGTTAAGTTAAAGAAGCTACCTAGAAACAAGCCTAAGGGAAGGCCAAGCACTCAGAACCAATAAGCCTCCGTGTCATGATTTGGGGGCTGGTCCAAGGGAGCCTGCTACAGGAACAAGATGCGAGCCACTAAGAAAGGCAAGAGAAAGCCATCGAGGTGGGTGAAAAGAAAGGGCAAGTGAGCACGGGGGCCAGGAGTGATGGGCAGGGAAGTGACGCCATGTGGAAACCTGCTTCTTCTCACAGTGACAGAAACAAAAAGCAGGTGAGCTGGCTGAGAGCAGGAGCTTGCGCGTAAGCCTGGCCCCTGATCCTTGCCCACTCCTCTTAGCTCCCCTGCTCGTTCCCCATTGAGACTCTTCTAGATGTTTCTACTTGGCTTTGCTGAGGAAGTACCAGGCATCCAACTCCTCCAGCACCTAGGGTCCCTCGCCCTCACGCTGGTGTTGGTTGGTGATATGTGTGTGCTCTATGTTAGCTGGGCCGTGTTGAACAGCCTGGGCATCTGTTCCCAACTGTGAGCTGTGTGTGGATAGGAAAACTCTAGAGGGTAGAGCCGAGGATGCGGGAGCCTGGGAAGCCTGGGGTCCAGGCTGTAGCTAAAGTGGCTGGGGGAGGCCGAGAAGTGGGGGAATGTCACAGGAACGCCCTGCCAAGTGTGTGAAGGGGCTGTGCAGGCTCACACAGGAAGCTAAGGCACTGTGGCTGCCCCAGTATCCAGCCTGAGGAGGAGGCACATCTGGTTGTGACATCACTTTGGCACTGCAGCTGGGTCTAACCTGACTCAGGTGAAAGCAGAGGAAAATGCCCGAGCCCTTCCTGGGTCCCGCACCTAGGCCCCTCACACCTTACCTTTCACTGGTGAAGGCAGACTCGGTGGCCTGGTCTGCATCCTGACTTTCAGTCAGCCCCTGTAGGAGACAAAGCTTCTGAGTCGCCCTGGCGCTCTCTGCCGCAAGACAAGACACGTGTGCATTCAGGCCTGAGTAACCCCAGCAGGCCTAAAAGTCAGGCTACAGGGGTTGGTGGTCCGTCCCAGGACCTGCAGAGGTCTCAGTTGAGCTCTGTGCAAGGGATTGGGGAACCCTGACCACTGAAGCCCTCCCAGCATGCTCTTGCGCTGGTAGTAGAAGGCAGCCTGGGAGCCCAAGACCCTTACCTTTGGCAGGGAGGTGGAAGGCCCAGAAAACAGACAGAGGTAGAACCTGAAACAAGGCAGAGCAACGTGAAGCCTGGCTCACAAGGCCGAGCAGAAGAGACAAGCCCTGCATTTTCTGTGCCCTGTCCTCCTACCCAGCATCCCTTTGTTTACTCAGTAGCCTGCAAGGGCCCCAGCTGTGTAGACAGCGCTCGGCCCAGCACTCACTGTGTATGTGTATACCGAGGTCAAGCTCAGCTGTCACTCCCCAAGACACTCTCCACCTCATGTTTGACAGCGTCTCTCACTGTACTAGAGCTCACCATCCAGGAATCTGCCTGTCTCCATCTCCCCAGTGCCTCGTTGGAATTAAGAGCAAGCACACCACACCCAGCCTTTTAAACAGGTGCTGGAAATGGGAGCTCAGCCCCTCACGCATGCGCAGCAAGCACTTCACCAGCTAAGCCCCTGCCCCGGCCACTTACTTCTTTGCTTTGGCACTGTTGGGGAAGTCCACCACCACGCCGCCGGTGAAGCCTGCCCTCGTGGCCTGGGTTGTGATCAGCTCCAGCTGAGGAGAGAGGGGCAAGGGAGCAGATGGAGGGGTGGGAGGGACAGACAGAGGTCCTCAGCCCTCATTGGTCAGAATCTAAAGCACAGTCTAGCTAGGCCTTTCTGACTCAGAGGCCTCCAAAGCCACCAAGGCATAAAGTGGGGGCCGTAACCAGTCTCTGTAGCCCCATCCTGAGGAGAGTGTCAGCACAAAGCGGTTCAGCTCGTTCCCATGTTCTGGTCCAGGGACCCATCTCCCTACCCTCAGGAAACCAGACTCGGCTCTATTACATGTCAGGGACCTGCAGCTCACTGTCATTCTAAGCCCTAACTCCTGCCACAGAAAGCAGAACTGCTGAGGTCCTCTAGCCATGGGTTATGGAGATGCGCTGTATCACAGCACACTCTGGGACACCGCCTTATCTGTTTCCATTTTTCTCTCTCTGTGCTGGGGATGGAGGCCAGGTCCTCATGGATACTAGATGAGTGCTCGACTACTAAGCCACATCCCCAGCCTCCCGCCATCTCATCTGTCAACAACGCACCAGCCTCCCCTACGGCCACACCCCCTCTCAGAGAGCCATCTGGGGTCACTGTGCCATCACTAGGGTGCTCCTTCCCTCTTTTCCACCGGGCCGCCAGAGTTCCTTGTTCTACCATGGCAAGAAGGCAGTTGAATGGAGAAGGCTGGTCCACACCCCGCTCCCGGCAGATCTAGATAGCGGCTCACCTGCTCCGAGTTCTCAGGGTACAGCTGCAGGACAGCTCGGGCCCCACGGACCTGTGAGCAGCAGAAATGTCATGACCATGTAAGCGCTTGTGGGATGATGGCCACGGTGCACTTCACTTACTAAACATTTACAGAGCTCCCGTCACAAGGCTCAGAACGCCATCATGAACACGACTCCTGAACGGGGCACTCTCTGGTAAGGCAGGCATTTAACTTATAGCTGTGGCAAGTGACAAAGGAAAACATGGCGCATGCCTGTAACCTAAGCCTTTAGGAGGCAGAGGCAGGAGGATCACTACTTGCTCACCCCCAGCATAGTTTACATAGTAAGTCCCGGTCTCAAAGGAAAAAGGACAAGAAACAAGAATTACACAGTAAGTGTTGGGATTGAAGGTGTGCACCACAACACCTGCCATGAATTTCTTTTTTAAATTAAAAAGAAGGTGACAGTGCAGGGAAGTGCAGAGGACATGGGCATCCTGTGTGCTGGACATGACGTCACTGCCCTCGCTCAACTGCCTCAGATGTTGACTGCGATGCTGCTGGGTTTAGTCAGATGTCCGCCCTTTGCACTTGGACCCTTTTTCCTTTTGCATTTTTGAGGCATCTCTGGCTGACTTTGAATTTCCTATGTAGCCAAGGCTGATTTTGAGCTCCCAACTCTCCAGTCTCTGCCTCCTCCAAGTGTTAGGATTCCAGGTCTATACCACCACGCCCAACTGAGTCTTGACAGGCTATGTGTCCTTTCTCAACAGCTTTCCCATCATGACCTCAACTTCATCCTTGAACTTCCGAGGCAGGAGAATGACAGACAGACAGAACCACGAGGAGGGGAGCTATACTCACGAGGGCAGAGTACAGAGAAGAGAAGAAGTGGTACAGTCGCCTGGCAGGGACGTCTGACTTCTTGTTTGCATTGCAGAGCCACTGAACAGCTGAGATGCTGAAAAGGAAGGGACCCAGTCAGGAGGGCCGACGCCCTCGCCAGTGACTCTTGAGGAATCTGCCATTATCCACCATACTCTGCTGCACACAGCTCCTGTCCTGCAGGCCAGTCCACTCTTGGTCACTTCCTTGCAACACAGAACCAACTGGGGGCAGCACTCACTTCCTTCAGTTATTCCAGGAAAATGCTCTCTCAACCAACGTCTGTGTGTACACGTCCAGGAGCCCAGGCCGTTACTGCCCACCTACCCCTCCACTCTCCACCGACCCTCAGAGGAAACCCACTGGACAGCAAGCACTTACATCCAGCCGTTCATCTGCCTTTTCCGTGTTCTGCTGCAGCTACCAAGGCTTGTACCCTCCCCCACCTGTCCCCTGATCTCAATCTCACTCTGGCCCACACCTCCTCACTGCTGGGATGACAACATGGGCAGCGACATTTCATATTTTTAACAGCAATTTTAATGTTCCAAAGCTCGTTATTAAAGTCCAGGGGCTGGAGAGATGGCTCAGCAGTTAGAAGCACTGACTGCTTGTCAGTTCCCAGCACCCACACAGCAGCTCACAGCCATCTCCAGTTCCAGGGAACTGAACACTGTCCTCTAGCCAGGGACAAGGCACACATGTGAAACACACACACACACACACACACACACACACACAGGTCAACATGCCCAAAAAATAAATTTTTAAAAACTTTAGTTTTTCAAGACAGGGTCTCTCTCTATATGTAGTCCTGGACACCCTGGAACTCACTCTGTAGACCAGGTTGGCCTTGAACTCAGAGATCCACCTGCCTCTGCCTCCAAAGTGCTGGGATTAAAGGGGTACGCCACCACCGCCTGGGAAAATAATTAATTATAGGTCAGTGTGTTTATAATCCCAGTAATGGGGGAATCAGAAGCAGAGCCAGGCAGATGCTGGAAGCTCACTGGGCAGCTAATCTGGTCTGTGTGACAATGGTCCACAAAGAGAGCTTGTTTGAAACAAAAAGCAGAGTCTGAGGACCGGTATCTAAGGATGCTCCCTTGCCTCCACCTGCTTGTTCCCACATACACAAGATGTGCATACACACAACAATTTTTTAGTAGCCTTTGACCTTATAAATCTCAGAATCTTAGAAGATGTACATTTATTTAATTACATTCACTGCACACGCATCCTGGCTGATGCACAGAAGGGAGACAATAATCTTCAAGAACCTTTATTCTCTCCACCATGTGTTTTCTGTACCAAACAGGTTTGTCAGGCCTGGTAACAAGCACCTGTAATCAGAGCCAGCTCACAGGCCCAGAACATGTAAAATTTTAAATATCACATATGCCTGCTATGCAGCTGTGTTTAGGAAACACTGGTGTACGAAATTACAACTAGGAAGTGAAGACCCTCACCTGATGCAGCCATCAAAAGAACCTGGTCGGAAAGGGACTCCTTGGCCCATGTCCCCTAGCAGCAGGTCTCCCTCTGTGTCTCGGTCTAAGGCAGCATCTACACGGGAGCAAGGAAAAGTATTGGTACTGTTGCTGCAGACAGGTGTGGTGGGCGGGCCTGTGATCTCAGCAACAGGGAGGCTGAGGCAGGAGCATCCCACGTTGGGGACTGGTCTGGGCTATATGGCAAGACCTGATCTCAACCAGAAATCCAATTTAGCTGTTCCATACTCAAGAGGATAGTCACATTGGTACAGACAGAGCTAACTTACCCAACATGGCAGAGCTGATGTCAATGCCCACCCAATAGTGCCCCTCCTCTGAGATATAGTCTCCACTCAGTCCAGTACCGCAGCTGTAGGAAATAACCCACAGGGGTCACAGAGCTAAATAGTGAAGACCCTCCACCCCACCCAGGCAATGAGACCTGGGGCCCCAGGACCTCACCCAATGTCCAACAGATAAGAAGGCTGACCCTCTGGCAGACAGAGGAGCTCCAGTGCCCTCTCAGTCATCTTGGTCTGGATGTCAATCATCCGTGAACTGGGAAGCAGAAAAACATAGGAGTAGTTAGAGTTTCTCTTAGATCAAAAGAGTTAGGAAAATTTAAAAAAACAATCAATTTTGTTTTAAAAAAACAAAAATTTTTTTTATTTTGCCTGGCAGTGGTGGCGCACACCTTTAATACCAGGACTCGGGAGGCAGAGGCAAGCAGATCTCTTGAGTTCAAGGCCAGCCTGGTCTATAAGAGCTAGTTCCAAGACAGTCAGGGCTACACAGAGAAACCCTGTCTTGAATAACAAAAACAAAAATTTATTTATTTCATTTAGTGTGTGTGTGTCTGGATGCATGTGGAGGTCAGAAGCCAACTTGTTCAATTTGGTTCTTTTCTTCCAACATGGAGGTTCTAGGGATCAAACTGAGTCATGAAGCTTGGTTAGTAACCCCTACTAAGAGTTTAAGTTCAATCTGGGCAAGACTTGCCTCAAAACAGCATCAACAAAGTAAGCCCAAAAGTCCATTTGATACAGTACATGCCATTTTATCGTGTACAGATTGTTAAGTGTACCAGCTGCAAGGCTGACAGGAGTAGAGCAAGTCACTCAGCAGATGAGCAGTCAATGACTCTCTACACCTGTGCTGGTTTGGATGCTCATTCCCTAGGGATGCGTTCTCTCCGAGAGTCATCTGCTATATCTACTCCTGTCTGCACGGACCAACAATGCACAAGTGTTAGGCATGTGTGACATGTGTCTTGGGGGTGGAGCACTTGTCAACTCACAAGAGGCCCTAAATTCAAAGCCCTGTACCGCCAAAAAAACAAAATGATTCGCCTTGGTAGTAAAAAGTGTATGCCAGGCCACACATCCTACCCCCACTACCTGAAAACAAAAACCAGGTGTGGTGATGCACACCTCCACTGAACCAGAACCTGAGCAAGCACACCTCTGTGAGTTCAAGGGCAGTCAGGGCTATAGTGAGACTCTGTCTCAAAAGGAAGGTGGGGGAGGGAGGGAAACAGTAAACAGAAGAACAGGACATGATTGTACATGCCTATAATCTCAGCATGCAGAAGGCTGAAGCAGGAGGGTCACTTCAAGTGAGGCCAATCTGGGTCATAATGTGAACATATCTCAAAGAAAAATAAACAACTAACAAAAATAGAACAAATACCCTATTGTAATTATGTTATATATGTTTTATATACTCAAAGAATTATTTCAATATGGAATCAGCAAAAAAAGTGAGTTGTGTCTTTTTTTTTCACTTCTCCACATTGTCATTCAGAGTTAAAGAATTTATTTATTTATTTATTTATTACGTATACAATATTCTGTCTGAATGCCTGAAGACCAGAAGAGGGCGCCAGACCTCCTTACAGATGGTTGTGAGCCACCATGTGGTTGCTGGGAATTGAACTCAGGACCTTTGGAAGAGCAGGCAATGCTCTTAACCACTGAGCCATCTCTCCAGCCCCCAGAGTTAAAGAATTTTACTAGCTAGCTACTGACTGCTATATTCAACAGAATAGTTCTACATCTATCTGGTCTGTCCAAAATAAAGGTAAATAATCACACACAATAGTTCCCATAGAGCCACACATGCTGGACCATGTCTGCAATTTCCGCACTTGGACGGTGGAGACAGTAGGGTCAGGAATTCTGTCACCTCTGATACACAGGAAGTTCAAGAATACCCTGGGCTAGGGGAGGCCATGTTTCAAACAAACAAAACCAAATAAACTATCCTGTAGAGTATTCAGACGATGTTTCTATCTATGGCTGCCATGATAATTTAGTGCAATCATGCATTTAAATAAGAATCACAAGAAACCCATAATGAGTTATGGCCTCCCTCCTAACAGTATTCATTCCTTTCTGGGGGTGTGGCTCAATGGTAAAACTGCCTAGAATCCCCTAGTGAGGGGCTGAGGGTGTGGCTCAATGACAGAGCACACAAGACAATATGCCTACAGATATCCTCTAACTATGCCTACTTTACCACGTGTTTAAAACACTTTGTCTGCCGGGCGGTGGTGGCTCACGCCTTTAATCACAGCACACGGGAGGCAGAGACGGGTGAATCTCTGTGAGTTCAAGGCCAGCCTGGTCTACAAGAGCTAGCTCCAGGGCAGGCTCCAAAGCTAGAGAAACCCTGTCTCGAAAAAGCCAAAAACAAACAAATAAATAACCACACATTGTCAAACGACCTAGTGTAAACTAGAGACGAAAACATCCACAATAGAACCAAGGTATCAAGATCCCTCCAAGAGTTCGACGGTTTAAAATTCACTTTACCGGTGGCAGAACTGCATTTACTCAGGTCCCTCATCTCCCCCACTCCCAAATTCTAGATGCTTTCCAAGCGACACCCATAATGAGGGCGACTTGCCGATCCCGACCCCCGATGCCATTCAACACCATGTTCTCCTCACTTGCGAACGTATTTCCGGGCTTCATTTTGGTCATAAAACTGTTGGGAAGAGAAAGACACATGGGATATGAGGGGAAGAACCCAAAAACAGGCATGCTAGAAGAAGACCAAGTCCTGACAAGGTCTCACCAGCTCTGGCGGTCCGCTGTGCTCGGGTCTCCGGCTACGAGACGCCATCTCTACTCTAGGGTACCGCAGCACGCTGGTGCCGGCAAACCTCGGCAGTGTTTGACGTCATCAACTCTGCGACTACCCCACCACCACGTAGAGCTCACGCTCTAAACGTTCCCCGCCTATCTTTTTATTTGATTGGCTACAAGCCGGAGGCGCCGCTCACGATTCGCGGTTCCCATTGGCTGGCTGGGCGCCGCCCAGTCCCCGCCACAACATGGCGGCCGCGCGCTGCCTGGGCTGGCCGCTGTCACCGCTATGGAGGCTGTGGCAGGCTCGGGGGTTGCCACAAAATTCGGCCGCGGGCTGGTGCTCGCGAGGGAGGCCTTACTCCCGCTCTGCCCTCTACGAGACGCTGGGCGTCCCCTCCACGGCCACGCAGGCGCAGATCAAAGCGGCGTACTACCGGCAGAGCTTCCTCTACCATCCTGATGGCAATCCCGGGAGCCCCGAGGCCGCCGAGCGCTTCACGCGCATTGCCGAAGCTTATCGAGTCCTGGGCAGCACCATCCTCCGTCGCAAGTATGACCGAGGTCTGCTCAGCGACCAGGACCTGCGCGGACCCGGTGTCAGGCCCTCTAGGGCACCCCCGGACGATCCCCCTCCTCCTCCTCCTCCTCCCCATGCCCCTCGGGCTCACTATGGCTCTCGGGCCTTTCCCGGCGACCGTCGCACTATGTTCGACTTTGACGCCTTCTACCAGGCGCACTATGGAGAACAGCTAGAAAGAGAGCGGTGTCTGCGCGCCCTGAGGGAGGCCCTTCGCAAAAAGCAGGAGGACCAGGCCAACAAAGGGCTACGCTGGAATGATACCCGAGATGCCACTTTCATTGTCCTCTTTTTCCTCATCTTCGTCTTCATCGGCTTTCGTATTTAATCGGAGAAACGGAGGGAAGGGGAACCAGCCCAAGAAACTTGCCTTTCTTGACCTTTGAACTATTGGTCTTGGAATGAATTGACTACCTCTGGTGGCGTTCCCTTGACTCCTAGCACCTTCCCAGCTTGGCTGGTGATCAACACAGCCTTCTCCTATGGTCCAGAAAAAAAAAAAAAGCTCTTCCATGGCCAAGAAAGAGGTCCCAGGAGAAAGATAACCGAAAACCATGAATGTACGTGCTTTCCAGAGCCGCCCCTGGGTGCCTGCTTGTTTCTAGAAGTTGTCTTCCACATGTCAACTCCCAGAACAAGTGCTCTGGTTTTATCCGGAAGCCCTTAGCAAGCCTTGTCTGGTCCCCTACCTCATGTTTATACCATGGGGCAGCACTTCCTCTGTAACCCTTGAACCGTGCCAATCTTTTTGTCCTCTGTCAAAAAGATTAATTCTTGGGGCTTGCCTGAAACTTGTCTTTCTGTGTTACCCCAAGCCACAGGTGAGACTTGATCAACCATCCCGCAGATGCTGGGGATGTAGCTCAGTGAGAGAATATGCTAGCATGCAGCAGGCACTGGGTTTGGTTCCCAGCATTGCTGTTGTCCTTTCCCCTCCAAGAAAAAAGTTAGTGAAAGATTGCCATTTTCTTAGGTCTGGTCCATACTCTGTCACGTGGGAACAAGGAAGCAAAGCCCTTGTGTGAGAGGAACTGTTCCTGTTTTCATACTTATCTAGGGTGTGACCTTGGGGAAGGTGCCCTGTGGGTGTGATAGCAGAAGAGTAAATAATTTGCTCTCCCAAGGTCTGTCACTATTACGGTAATTCTACTCACAGTAGTGAAGTAGGATGATACTACTTAGGCCAAGTTCTTGGGACAGTGTTCCTGTCCTTGGTCTGCCTTTTCCTAGCCACTTGCATTGCTAACTGAGCAGTCTGCTGACTGTGACAAGACTTACCCTTGAGTGTGGCCCATGCATCTGCAGTGCTGATCAGAGGTGCCACGAGTCAAATCTTTCTAACAGGCTCTTGGATTATGTGAGTAATTTTGGGTCCTGGAGTAGAAGCAGCAAGAAGCTCACTAATTAAGATGGAGTTGAAGTCCAGATTGTAGTACAGGCCTCTAATCCACAGAGGAAGCTGAGGCTGGAGGATTGTGACCAGTTACATAGCAAGGCTTGTCTTTAATAAAGATAAGACAGGCATGCTGACTCACATTTTTAATCAGAGCTCCATAGACTTGAGACTCTTAATCTCAGGGTTGTGGGTTTGAGTCCCATGTTGGGTGCCATTTGTAGACAGAATTTTCTGTCCTACCTGTTTCTGCAGTTGTTCAGTCCCAAAGAAACACACGGAGACTTTTTTTTTTTTTTTGCTTTTCGAGACAGGGTTTCTCTGTGGTTTTGGAACCTATCCTGGAACTAGCTCTTGTAGACCAGGCTGGTCTCGAATTCACAGAGATCCGCCTGCCTCTGCCTCCCAAAGTGCTGGGATTAAAGGCGTGCGCCACCACAGCCCGGCCCACACGGAGACATATTAATTATAAACTGTTTGGCCTATTGCTCAGGCTTATTACTAACTGGCTTTTACAACTTAAATTAACCCATAATTCTTACCTATGTTTAGCCATGTGGCTTGGTACCTTATCTCAGTAAGGCATCTTGCTTCCTCTGCATCTGGCTGGTGACTTGACTCTCTGTCTTTCCTCTTCCCAGAATTCTCTTAGTCTGGTCACCCTACCTATACTTCCTGTGTAACTACTGACCAATAAGTGTTTTATTAAACTAATACAAGTGACTAATCTTTACAGTGTTACAAGAGCATTATCCCACAGCATAAGACCCTGTCTCAAGAAAAAAAAAAAAGTTGAAAAATAGGTTCCTTATATGCTGCTGACCAAGGATTATAATGAGTTTTTTTTGGGGGGGGGGAGACTTGTTATTTAGATTTGGAAAAATTTTTGTTGTTTTGCTTTGTTTTTTGAGGTAGTCTCTAGTAACCCAGGCTGATCATGAACTCTCTTTGTGCCTGATCATGAACTCTTTTTTTTTTTTTGATTTTTCGAGACAGGGTTTCTCTGTGACTTTGGAGCCTGTACTGGAACTAGCTCTGTAGACCAGGCTGTTCTCAAACTCACAGAGATCCACCTGCCTCTGCCTCCTGAGTGCTGGGATTAAAGGCGTGAGCCACCACTGCCCGGCCTGATCATGAACTCTTGACCTTTTGTTTTTGATACAGGGTTTTCCTGTGTAAGCCTAGCTGTCCTGGGACTCACTCTGCTCTGCTGACCAGGCTGGCCTCAAACTCAGAGACAGCTGCCTGCTTCTGCCTCCCTGAGTGCTGGGATTAAAGGCGTGTACCACCACACCCAGCTTTCTGCCTCCATCTGAGTGCTGGCACACTCAGAAGTACAGAAGTACACAGGTGTGTACCACCATGACCCCGTTAGTTTTCTGGGTTTTGGTTTTCTTATACCAAGCAGTTAGTAGTAACTTGTGGTCAGAGCTACAGTAGTCCTGTGGTCCCCTTACATCTGACCCACACTGGGAATGGGCTAGGACATCCTGAGTGCAGGGGCACACTGGGGCCGTGTGCAAAGCCAAGAAAGTAGAGATCCACAGCAGAGCTCAGGATGTGGCTCAGTTGATGCACAGATCCTTGGGTTCCACATCCAGTACCCTATAAATCAGGCTGGATGGTGCCGTAATCTCAGCGTTTTTTTCAAGTCACAGACAGGCCTAGAACTTTCCATCCTCTGCCTCAGATTCCTGAGTGCTTGGATTTCTGGCATGGGTCACACACCCACAGGGGTATAGGAGGCTTTCTGAAGGACTACCACATGGTGGCTTTCTCCTCTCAGGACTGTAGTGAGTTTTCCCTTTCCTACTTCCCGTATGTCCTAGCAAGAGGGTAAACTTGGCAGTGGCCATTACCCCTGCCCAGTCTGGCAATGGAGGGCGTGGTTGAAGGGGGCAAGTACAGCATGGGGCTGAAGCGTGTGGGCCCAGTCAAGAAGATAGGAAACAAAGATCCGTGCAACTGGTGAATGATTGTCTTCTAGACAGCTAAAATGGCAAACTAGACCAAATGCCCTCCTAGTGACCACAGTGTTTGCACAACTGGATTCCTTCCTTCTGAATTCACATGATGCATCTTTGGCCTCCATCTTGGCTCCAGTATTAGTTAGGATAGGATGTGATAGCATGTATATATTCCCAGCATGTGGCAGGCTGAAGGGAGACAGGTCTCAGTTTAAGGCCAGCCTAGGCTATGTAGTGAGACCCTGTCTCAAAAAAGGGTAGAAGCTGGATGTGGTGGTGGACACATGTATTCCCAGCGCTGGAGAAGCAGGAGGATGACCCACGAGTTTGTGGACCAGCTGGGGTGACATAGTGAGTTTCAAGCCAGCTAGGGCTACATAGTGAGGTCCTGTTTCAAAAAGAGGAAACGGAGTAGGGGTAGACCCATGAATGGCCCAGAAGGTTAAGGAGTTTGTCTTGTTCTGTCCCGGGACCTACATGTTGGAAGGAGAGAAGGGACCCCAGAACTTCTAACTTCCACATAAGTGCAGTGGCATGTGCATGGGTGTGCATGTGCACCCACATACCTTACACAGACTGAATAAGTACTTGTTATTAAAAGGGATGTGTAGCTTTGGGCCGGGGAGTTGTTCTCGGTCACGACTGACTCAGAAGGTCCCCGCAGCACCAGGAGAATGGTCACCAACTGTTTTGTGAAACAGGGTCCTGTATCTTGAACCTGTGTGCTTCCTGGGAGGTCACCAGACCCCACGAAGGGAGAGAAGGAACAGCTGACAAGTCACGGGGCTCTCCCGGCCATTGTCGGTGGGGAGGATGGAGAAAAGTGGGAAGTGGCTCAGCCGGCAGAGTGTGTGCCCTGACTTCCGCCTGCAGCACGACTGGCACCGAGCATGGTGGTCCCTGTCATCACAGCACTCGGCGAAGCAAGAGGATCCGAAGCTCAGTGTCATCCTAAGACAGAGAATTTAAGGCTAGCCTAGGCTACATAAGCCCTGTCTCAAAATAAATAAAGGATATTTACTTAATCTCAGACTTTGACTGCTTTCAGTTCAGCTTCCCTGTGATGAGGTCATACTCCCATCTGCTTGTAGATGACATCATAAGGACATATCCCTCACCGGGTGCTAATCCCCAGGTAGGTTAGCTCTGAGATCCAACTTGCAACGTAGGTAGGGTGCTGAGTGCCCCTCTCTGTGTTAAAGCCACAGTAAGTACCGGGAGTGGAGAGTACTGGAAACTCTGGGTTCCATCCCTAACATGGTCTCCATGGAAATGGTGGTGCATGTCTAGTATGCAAGAAGTGGAGGAATAAGGAGAAGTCCAAGGTCTTCTCCAGATGCAGTAGAATAAACTTTTAATGCCAGCATTCAAGAGGCAGGAGCAGGCCCATCTCTGAATCTGAGGCCAGCCAGGGCTACATAATCAGACCCTGTCTCAAACCATAATAGCAAAACATGAAGACAGGATAGGGTGTAGGGCTTGGAAGTATGGGTCTGTAGTTAAGAGCATGCACTGCTCTTGTAAAGGACCAAGTTCCATTCCCAACACCAGTGGCTCACCTGTAGCTCCAAGGGATCCAACACCCTCTTCTGGTTTCTGTGGGTACTGCATTCACACATAGACAAAGACACACGTACAAAAACCTATTAAACATCTGGGTGGAGGTGGCACACTCTTTAATCCCAGCAGGCGCATCTCTGGAAGTTTGAGGACAGCTAGGGCTACACACAGAATTCCTGTCTCAAGAAAAACAAACAGAAAACTCTTGTTCTGGGACTGGAGAACTGTCTTAGTGGTTAAGAGCACTGTCTACTCTTCCAAAGGACCTGGGTTCAATTCCCAGCACACACGGCAGGTCACAACTGAGTTCCAGGGGATCCAACACCCTCACGGAGGCAAACATTAAAAAAATAATAATAAAACAGGGAAAGAGGCAAAAGTTGGGTAGAGTCCCACAGCCTGCTGGGGCTTGTGTTTTAAAATTATATAAAATAAATCCCTAAAAAGAAAGGATGGCCAAGTAGTGGAGGCACACACTTTTAATCCCAGCACTCAGGAGGCAGAGGCAGGTGGATCTCTGTGAGTTTGAGGCCAGCCTAGTCCAGGACAGTCAGGATTATTAGACAGAGAAACCCTGTCTCAAAAAAGAAAAGAAAAAGGACGAGTTTGAGGCCAGCTTGGGCTACCCATGAGAGATAGTGTCTCAAAGCAACCTCATAAAAAAGAGAAGGTAAATGAAAGAGGGTGGAGCATTTCTTACAGAAAAAGACTGCTTTGCCTCATCACCTTGCTGACCCCTGCGGGAATCCGGGTTTGATATAATAACCCATACCTGGGCCCATGAGATGGATCACCAACTGAAGTTGCTCACCACCAAGCCCAACAACGTGAAACGCTCCTGATCCCCAGGATCTACAGTAAAAAGAACCAACTCCCAGAAGTAGTCCTCTGATCGCCCTTATGTGCATACACACACACACACACAAATAAATGCATGTTTTTAAATAACCTTTCTTTTATACAGATGTGTATAAATCTTCATTTTTTTTTTCAGTGCTGGGATTGAACCCAGAACTTGCACATGCTAGGCAAATACTCTACCATTCAACCATATCTCTAGCCCCTCACTGGGGGATTCTAGGCAGGGGCTCTACCACTGAGCCACACCCCAGCCCCTCACTGGGGGATTCTAGGCAGGGGCTCTACCACTGAGCCACACCCCAGCCCCTCACTGGGGGATTCTAGGCAGGGGCTCTGCCACTGAGTCACACCCCAGCCCCTCACTGGGGGATTCTAGGCAGGGGCTCTACCACTGAGTCACACCCCAGCCCCTCACTGGGGGATTCTAGGCAAGTGTTTTACCTCTGAGCCACACCCCAGCCCCTCACTATGAAATTCTGGACAATGTCTCCACCTACTTTGGAGTTACACAGAGTCTCAGCTCCTGAGTGTACGTCACTGTAGTTAGGAGTCATGGTTGGTTTGTTACCATTGGCAGGGACAGTGTATTTCTATGTAGCCAAGGCTGGCCGTGAGTTGTCTGAATTCTTTACAGGATCTTTAAGGATCTTTAAGGATCCCTAACAACGGCAAGGGCTTAGCCAAATGCAGAAGTTCTTGGCACAGTCACACCAACTTCTCCACTCAACCCTGAGGGTAAAACTGGTGTATAAAGTGGAATAAACCCACAGCCAGCCCAGATACTGGAAACCACCTATGTTTCCCTCCCTGGGTGATTAGGGGCAAGCTTTTAGCCAGACCAGATCATAGGCTGGTTGGCAACTGCTTGGCTTGGTGAACCTTGGTTAACACAGTGTTCAGTTAGCAGAGTATAATGGCGCACACCTTTAATCTGAGCACTTAGGAGGCAGAGGCAAGCAGATCTCTGAGTTCGAGGTCAGCCTGGTCTACAGAGCGAGTTCCAGGATGGTTAGGGCTGTTACACAGAGAAACCCTGACTCGAAAGCCCCCCAAAACAACAACAACAACAAAACCAATACCAGACAGTGGTGGTGGCTTACTCCTTTAATCCCAGCTCTTGGGAAGCAGAGGTAGGTGGATCTCTGAGTTCAAGGCCAGCCTGATCTAAAGGGCTAGTTCCAGGACAGCCAGGGCTACACAGAGAAACCCTGTCTTGAAAATACAACAAAACAAAGCACTGTGTTTACAAACCCATGCTCTGCCCCCGTAAAAAGAAAAAAGTCCCCTATAAGGGTTTTTAAAGTTTATTTATTATGTATACAATGTTCTGCCTGCATGTATGCCTGCAGGCCAGAAGAGGGCACCAGATTTCATTATAAATGGTATTGAACCACCATGTGGTTACTAAGACTTGAACTCAGGACCACTGGAAGGGCAGCCAGTGTGCTTAACCTCTGAACCATCTCTACAGCCCTCCAGGAAAGGTTTTTCAAGTTGGTTCAGTAGGTAAAGCACTGATGCCAACTTGATTGACATTTGAGTGTAATCCCTGAGACCCACATGGCAGAAGGAGAGGACCAACTCCCATAAGTTGTTCTCTGGCTTCAAAATGCATCTCATGACATGTGGCCTCCCCTACAAATTAAATAAATAAATGTGACTTAAAAAATATTTTCCAGTTCTTCAGATAACCAGACAGTCGTTCCTGGGGTTATGGATGTGTGCTGCGGTGCTAACTGCAGATTCTAGGAGTCTGTAATAGGTAGAAGCAGGATTTAACCCCAGGAATCACACACGCCAGGCAATCAGTGGTTCTACTGTTGGGGCAGACCTACAGCCCCCAGGTGATGCTGCCTACTCTAGTTTTTCCTCCCTCACAAAGGGTCATCCCCGGGTCATTCCTGGGTATGTTCATCCCTAGAACCCCAAGGCAGAATATTGAAAGTAAGATGGCTGAAATCTTCAGAACATACATGCACCTGCTAGTCAGGGACATATGAGTCTTAGTTTTTAGACGGTCTCAGCATGTTGTCCTGCCAGGCCTGGAACTCACTACTTAGACTAGGCTGGCCTTGAACTCATAGAGATATTTCTTTCTCTGCCTCCCAAGTACTGGGATTAGTGGGTGAGGTGTGACCCACACCTCACCTCACTGGGAGGTCACTTGAAGGACCCATCCGGTTCCCATGGTAACAATTATCTTTTCCTATACTCTCTCTTGACTAGAATTTTTTGTTTTGTTTAAATTTTGAGGCTTTTGAGGCGGAGTTTTGTTTAGCTCAAGCTGGTTTTAAACTTCCTTTGTAGCCATGGATGACCTTGAATTTCTGACCCTCCTGCCCCCAGCCCCCAAGTACTGGGATTACATTACAGAAGTGCACTACCATACCTAGTTTATGCGGTACTGGGGATGGAACCCAGGACCTTCAGGCACATGAGACAGACACACTATCAACCGAGCCACATCCCCAACCTGGTTCTTTCTCTACTTCTTACCTGTCCTAGGTAAGAGGCCAGTCCTGGACACTGACCCCTTCTGGAAGCTACTCCTCAGAGTCCCGGTGATGGAAAAAGAGGTAGCCGTGCCCAACCTTAGCTCTCCCCCATTCCACTCTTTTGCCACAAAGTCTCACTGTGTAGCCTTGGCTGGCGGGGAATTCACAGAGAGTCTCCTGCCTCTGCCTCCTAAGTGCTGAGATCAAAGGCATGCGCCACCACACCTGCCTCCGTTCTCTCTTTGGTTGCATTCTTAAATAAAACTGCCCAGAATGTTGGTCCAGGGCTGGGGCATCATGTAGGATGTGAGCATCCAGTCTGCTCTCAGGCTGAGCTGGAAGTCAAGGGAGGTCTTCCCAAGTGGTTCTCCAGGCACCCTGGGGTTCATGTATTTCTCAGCCCCCAGCAGCAATGAGGCTGGGAGAATAACCATATGGGGTTTCTCCAGTTGGGTGCTTTCCCCTGCACCCTTCTGGGGGAGACTGATTGAGCTTAAAAGGCTCTAAGGTTCGACCCCTCCCCCACATGCTCCAGCTGTTGGTTGAAGTTCCAAAGATCATCAAATACTTAAGCTCTTCTTACACATCTACAGGGATCCCTGCCTCCAGAAACAGCCACTGAGAGTCCCTACCTGGTCCCCAAATTCTCACCCCACTGTTCTTGGTTCTATCCCTGGGGTCACACTTAAAGTGGACTGAACACCATACGCCTGCATTTGCACGCTTTTCTTGTGGATCTTAGTCCCAAGCCTCCCTCTCATCTTTTATACTTCAAAGATGCCATGAGGGGTCCCTTTAGTATCTCAAACTTCAGTGAAAAGTAGAGTCAACTCAACACCAACATTCTAGATGATTCTATCTCTAGTAACACGGACAAAGACCACACTAGCTTTGTAAACTTCAGTAGCACTCTTGTTACTTTGAGACAAAATCTCGCTCTGTAAACTAGGTGTGGTAGCAACACTTTTACTCAGCACTCTGGAGGCAAAGGCAGGCGACCTCTAAAGATGAGCATACAAGGCCAGCCTTTTCTAAAAAGTGAGTTCTCCTGTCTCAAAAACAAACAAATAAGCAAGCAAAACTCACTCTGTAGGGCTGGAGAGATGGCTCAGAG